TACCAGGAACGTTTCTCGAAAGGTAAATAAAATTTTAAAAAGTACACTAGTACGCTGTTCCTCTCCGTGGCCGTTCTTAAAAGGTCCGTGAAGCCGCTCGTTAAACTCGCGAAGATCAACCACGGTGATCCACATATAAGAGCGGGCCCGTAGGTGGTCCCACGCCGTGCGTCCCCGTCGACCAATCGAAACAAGGTGCTTTCTACTTACCGCAATCGGGCATCTCGGTTTCGCGTCCAGATCCTGTCTGTCCTCTTTCGCCCGATTATTCGCCCGCAGGTGTTACCTGGCATGTGGGTCGATTCGGGTACGGTTACATAAATATCGGACGATGATCTTCGCCGACGATGACGTAACTCGATCGAGCGGGAACGTCTCTGGGTTCTCTCTATATATTTTGTAACGCTGTGTTCAAACGGCCTTGAGATTCGATAAGAAATTCGCAACGAACAAAACACCCCCATGTTTCGTTTCCGAGCGGTCCCTCATTGCAACTGAACACGAATTTCAGAGTTTATAACTTAACTTTAATGCGAACCGTAGAAAAATTGTTACATTTCAACTGATGAATAACGATCTATGGACGGGAGTGATTTTTCAGTCTTTGGCTACGTGCTACCCCTGTCGAAATGTACACTAAAACGAAGAATCACGGAGATTTTGGATGCCAGCAGAGGGTTAACGCGATCCTCAGTACGCGTTTGGATTGTCCTGGAGGAAGGTGCCCACCTGGTTGCCGAGGTCCTTTCGGAATTCTCTCACATTGACTTCCGATTGCTGTAAGAGAAGTCGGGGATCATTGAATAGATTCGAATGAAAAGAGAAAAATTTGGCTGCAGAGTACAGTAATTTCTCGATGAGTGTTCGAAGGGTCCTCGATACTGATAAGGGGAGGTCCTCTGGTGTGAAGCTAACTTTTGAATAAGGTTTACCCTAGTGATAGAGGTTGGCATTTTGAAACCAATGATATTTCTGTTAGTTGTATATAGCCATATTAGTTTCTGAAATATTTAATGTTTAGTGCTGACGGGCCTTCGAACATTTATCGAGGATTTACTGTAGTATTTAGACCAATGCCCACTGGGAGGTGTGGTTGGCCATTGAGAAACTAGAGGAGTCAAATAAGAGTGGTATCGAGTACTGTAAATATTTCAATTAAAAAAATATTTCTAAGTTACGTCTGGAATACGACTGGATTATGTCTGTATTACGTCTGGATTACGTCTGGATTAGGTTTAGATTACGTCTGGAATACGTTTGCATTACGTCTGGATTAGGTTTGGATTACGTCTGAATTACGTCTGGATTGAGTCAGGATTATGTTAGGGTTTTCATCGAACCTATAGTCCTGCCACAAATTTATCGTGCAGTTCTTACGTTTAATGCGTCTCTCCACTCGATGTTGAACAATCGAACCAGACCCAAGACGTTCCGTCTGATCAGAGTTTGAAGACTGCCTCGAGTGAGAACGAAAGGCGGCGCCTCTGTAGTCGTTGCAGGTAACATTGTGGTTGTTTCTGTTTCATTGACAGCTGTCATGTCCCTTGGCGGGGATGTGGCACCAATAACTGTGAGAGAACCTCTTGGCATGGAACTCTGCGTGGCCGAATCCGGGGCAATTCCGTTGTTGATGATCTCGCTGATCTGCTGGAAGGCTGATTTTGTGTCGTTGAAGGCCTGAAAGTAGTGCAATTATAAGGAATTTAACAGTCAGATTATTATTGACAATTTACTTGTATGATTACGAAATAAGAGAATTTGTTACTTACGAATGAGGTATGATTGATCGGGACGATCGTTTTTTCGTGAAAATTAGTTTGAAAATATAGGACATACCGTGTACAAATGAAGGCTTCAAGGTTGTTCGAAAAAAATATATACGATGTGTACTATTAGAATATACAATTTAGTTTAATATTCATCCGATGCTTGTAATTTCTGTGTTAAGACCATGGTACTATGTACAAGCTGGCCCAAAACAGGGAGAATAATGTTTTATGAGAAAATAAATCGAAAATCCTTAATAAAATCATTGTGAATGCACCTTCGTTTTCGAGATTAATTACTAAAAGTTTGATTGGTATACATGTGACTGAATACTACTTAAAATCAGGTAATTGGTCTGACCATTGCCAACTGTTTTTACTTATCACAAGGTTATATGTATATGAGGTAAGTTACAGAAGCCAATTTCTTGGAAAGACAGCTTCCAACGAAAGAAATTTATTCAGCACTTCGGCGGGTTTTTTTTCTACGAGAATTCACCTGCACTCATTTAAAAGAAGTGGTACCCAACCCTCATTCAACTCTCGAGTACTCTTCTAAAATCTAATCAACTTTACTATCCTCTAATTTCTATTCAACCAATATTAAAATCGAATCGACAGAATCTGCAAATCTGTTACCGAATAACAAATTATCGTTGTCCAATTAGTTCCCAAACTTCACTAACGCAAAACAGAATTGAAATTTAAACTTGGATTTCGGGGTGAAATTGATCCGAAAGATACAGAAAGTTTAACATTAAATTTCATTTAAAAAATAGATTTCTAAAGCACATTCATAAAATTTCATAAAAAAAGGGATCGTTCCGATCGTAGACTTCCCTTATTAGTCACATATTCTTACTTCGAACGTGACTCTGGCGAGGGTCCAAAAGAATCCGGGCCTCTGTTTCCTAATTTGCCTGGCGACCCTTTTCGTCTCCTCGGACAAAATCTTCTCCTCCAATCCATTGTTCTCTAGATCCTTCTCGTTCGAATCCTCCGATAGCAATTTATCAAGGATATTCATGTTCCTCGTGATTTCCTTTTCCTTCAAGACACTTTCCGAATCTTCCTCTTGTCTGAAACTGTCTTGTCTCGTATCCCTGTTTTCTTTCGTCTCTTGATTGCTCGATGCAAAATTCTGGTACTCATAGTATCTGTTGTCCTGCCGATACTTTGTCTCAGGTACACTCGCAGGATACCATGATGTATCGCTGCGGAAGTAGTTTGGCTCGTAAGCAGGGAAGGATTTGGATACGTATTCGGTCGAGTATTTTACAGGCCTTTGGATACTAGGAACACTGTACTGGTCCTGTACTACTTCCAGCGGCTGTATTCGAGGATTTATGAGTGGATGTGTTGGATAGTTGATCAAGTAGCTTTGCTGGGGGTCGCTCTGAAGGGAGCTAACTGATAGTAAGAGGAACAAGCCGACTGACAGTGATCTGAACGACGACGTCTTCATCTGGAAAGAGACCTGATTGATTAATCACAAGGTGGATTGCAAATTTTATGCATTCATGATTTCTGGCACTTAATGTAAAAAGATAAGAAACCTTTTAATGACGTTTTTATTTCATTCGAAGACTGATACATTCTTTGATACGATAAATTTCTTTCTGTTTAATCTGTAAAACACGGGAAGCCTATTTTTGGACTCCACAAGAGTCAATTATTTTTTGTAGTCTAACATTACAACAAATATATAAAAATTCTAACTCCAAAGTATAAAGAGTTATAAAAAAATCTGCACGTCTTCTAAAGGTTAATTTCACTTTCCGTAGCTTAGCTCACAAAACATACTAAAATCCTTACTACATTCCTTTGTAAGTTACAGATATCAACCCTTTAACGCTCAGACCCTTAAATCGTTATTTGAGAATTAAGGGACTGATATTACCTTGTATCATGTTATTTTTAAGTCGAAAACATCGACATTAAAGAGACCAATTTTTATAATATTTCCTTTGTTTTTTTATTTATTTTTGGAGGGAATACTTAAATTTCTCAACTGAAAACGTAGAGATCTACTTCCCACCAGTGAAACAGAATTTGACTCACTTTTGACTGAGTCTTGCACCAACGCAACACTTGCAATTAAAGGGTTAATGTATAATATTACACACAGCACATACAACAATCGATGGAAAAATATTTAGGTACTTGCTTTACGACGAATTCATCGACGAACCCAGCGCAAACGTCACCGCTCCGGCGACGATCATTTAAAACCAAATCGCGGCGGCAACGAAACGAAAGGATGAGTCGAAAAAAAGGCGAACCTCGACCACCAGGGGACGTTCACCGTAAGTGGCCGTTAAAGACTCGCGGTTCACGCGATTCCCATCACGCGATGGTCAGCGAACGTTCGCCAGGAAAATGGAAGAGAAGAAAAAAGGTACGCGACCAACGAGGCGATTCGTATTCGTCACGCGATTCCCCCGTTTCGATTTAAACGGTACTGATCGATTAGCCAACCGTACCCGAGTTTGCATACGCCTGCAGGGAACGCGGAAAATCCTGTGCACGCTCGTCACACCCGTGTCGGAGTCATATTCCGGTGAATCACGTACCACGCGTCGCGAAAAACCGCGAACGGAGGAGAATTTCAGGAGAGGTCCCTGCAACCGCGACGCGCTTTCACTCCTTACACTTTCCAACACTCTTGTAAAGTATCAATAGACGCGAACCATAGCGAATAAAATACATATTTCGTTGTGTTGTTTATCGTCATTCAACGTTGATGACCCCGTGGAGTTAAACCGATCCAAACTTCCCGCCAGATCGACCGTGACTGTCCATCCACGATCGAATTTCGACTTTCCGTGAATCCTTCGCTGGATTGGTCGCCTCGTGCTCCATTTCGACGCAGAGTTGACCTCGAGACAAAGCGTGCAGGGAATTCACTAGCAGCATGGTTCCGAGAGTTTCGAAACGTTCGATCGGCCAACGATTTTCGGGTGTTATGCAATCGACGTCCATTGCATCAAAGTGATCGCGACGTGATCGTTGAAGACGATAAGAGTTTAATTTGGAGTATTGTGTAATTTTTATAATTTAACAATATTGATCTATAGACTTCTTCCTTCTTTCTCGGATCTATTGTCGATATATCTTCTCTATTATATGTATGTATATTTATATCTGTAAATATATGCGTTGCATTGTATACGAAAGCTTATATACAGGGTGTCACAGTTTTTTCAGGGAAATTTTACCAGTATATTCTATAAGTAACAATACGAAAAAAATGTAATATAAACGTATAATAAAAACATAACAAAATTACGAAATGATGACTGCCTGCTTTCTTGTTCGGTACCACATATAGGAATGCATTGTCGGTTCACATAATAATTCCATTTCAAAATGTTGTCCTTTATTATGAAACAGGAAAATAGAAACTACTACATTTTCAATATTTCGTTTAATAGGTATGTAAAAGTCTCGATACGGTTAGTGTTAAAAACTTTTTCTTTCACAGTTCCCTACAAGTAGAAAACTATTGGCCTGATGTCTATCTCGGAGCCCAACGAATTAGTCATCCTCGACCTATCATACTATTTAACTCATTTAATCGTTGCAGTCACAAGAAATTAAACCATTATCATTTCGCATTTTTGTTGCGATTTTTTAATGCAGCTTCTAACAGCCCATGTGCATATAACAATTTTTATTAATTTTGCTCGTAGAACATGCTGGTAAACTTTCACGGAAAAGACCTGGGGCACCCTGTATAACTATTAACAATAGGAGAAAAATGTATTCCAAGCCCATTTCCCCTCAGGACACTATTTACTCTGTTCACTAGAATTGTTCTCTTTACGATGCAATAAAGTGAACGTTACATTCTGCTTGACGGGCACTCGAGGCAATCCACTTTTTGAATCTATTCCACACCACCATCCACTCCATGAATCTCTAACGTTTGCCCGTGATACAACCGTTCCATGTTCGTTTATTTCTCACCGCTTCGACCAAACGTTTAGGAACCCCTGAAATCGTTTACGCAACACGCGATCATCGCGTAACACGGCCGAGTGAAGTGAAATCAGAGTAGACAGCTCCCTCTCCGCCCAGGAAAGTAATGCACACGGCTGTTCCATCGGGATCGTGACGATCCAGCCTTATGAAACAACGTCTTTCCTACGAAATTACGGGATCATCCGAGCAGATCGTCGATGCACGCACGGTCGACTATGAAAGTCGTCGGAGACGATTCCCTTCCGTGTAAATTGTCAGAGCAGTCGATAGAGATCTACGAACGCTTTTTTAAAAATTTTAATTTGTTACTCCTCGAGGATTCTAGATGTCATTGGCTTCTGCAGCCTCCAACCGGTAGCGAACTTTCTACGGAAGTGTCGGGAGTGTATCCATTGATTACATGATCGTTATGATTCCTAGTGAATGGAACAGTTCACTGAGGCTTCGATCACGTATCATGATCATATAATCTGCCCTTAATCGAGTGATCAAACTGAACCGATCCCTCTCACTAGGATCGATGGAAACGGGTTTCCTTTTAAATTATAGTCTTGGATATTGATCTTGTTACTGTAAACTTTGGTCTTGATTACACAATACTTGGAAAGTCGAAATATTGGATGAAGAAACGAAGGCGTGGTGTACAGTTTGTTTCGTTTGTCGGTGTCCACTTAACGGCACTTGAATGACACTGGTCCTTGCGGTTTTTTGGCGTTTCGATTACGAAACTTCGTTCACGGAAACTTTTACGATCGATCAACTGGTAAAGGCGTATGTGCGTGCTGCACGGTGTTCGGTGGAGTCGGTACTTCGACGCGTTCCCGTGAAAAGCGAAACCACGTGGACCATCGCCGGCCGTACGCCGCGGCCATCTTTCACTTTCACTCCTGGCCGTCGACCACGTGTTTCCTCGAACGTAAATCGACCACTGACCACGCCGCCGTTTGAATTACTTAATTTTGATTACGATCTCGATGCACTTCCGTTGATCGATGCTAATAAAAAAGCGATATCCTTCTTTGACTTTGGTGTGCTATATTAATAATAAGAGGTCCTCAGGTGTAACACTAAATTTTTAATTTGACATGGTGATAGATAGTGGAATTTCTGAAGCCAATGGTGTTTCTTTCAGCCGCATATGACCACTAGTTTATGAGATATTTAATGTTAAATTTGTGGTCTATGTGCAGGGTGAGAACCTAAAACTGACCACCTTGAATATTTTGGATCTTATTGGTGAATAAAAAAATGTGTCAGACTTATTTTTCACGGTATCAAGGAGCACATAATTTCAGTTAAATTATTTTCTGATAGGTGGACGCGTGGAGGTCATATGAAGGTCAACTTCGATTTCTTAAAAGAAAAGACATGGTGTTTTACGTTCCATTTAGTAGAGGGTTTTCAGACACGTACAATGACCTATATATGAAAGTGTGTAAAAAAACTTCACCCTGTGTAGAGAGTGTTTCCAAAATGGTCGTAGAACCCGAAAGGATGTGATTCTACATGTATAATTAAGTCGAAAATGTAGGATAAAATTTTCTCGTATGATGCTTTGTTTTCAAGATAATTTCGAAAGTTACTCAGTTTTTAACGTAGAATTACATAGGTACATAAGAATATGTGTTGTCCGCGGTTTTAAAAAAAAATTACATCTAATTCTGGAACCCTATCGATTTGTGATATATTAAGAAGATCAAAATATTCAGTTTCAGTTGTAAGGAAACAGGAAGTATGTAAAAGAAATAGCAATACTATAATTTCCAGCAAATTCGTTACTGCAAGCACGACGCGCTCTGTTTCCCGCGTGGCCTCCCCTTCGTTTTATGAAGAAATAAACAGAATCAGCATGTCACGCAATACTGGAAACGCCAAAATCCTATTTTCTTAAAGCGTGCATCGAATAGAAATTTCTCTGTTACGAAGAAACTAAATATTTGACGCGAGTGTCGTCACAGAAATGGTCTGTCCTCTTAGGAAATTGCTTTTTGTGGAAACACTTATGGATTATCTTGCAATTTGGGTGCGTGTAGAGCAATAAAAAGATTGATACGATATTCCCAGAAACATCTATGTATAATTCATTCAAATTTCTGTGACATTCACTAAAACTCATCTTCGAGTTTACGTGAGGCTGTTACGCAACGCGGGCATCCACCTGTTGTGGATCAGAGATTCTCATCGTGTGGGCAGGTCTATAGAAATTAGGATAAACTGACCTTCGAAACGAGAAAACAATCAATTCCACGTTATCATGGTCAGCATTACCATAACCTGCTATTTGCTGATGCAACGTGCCAATCGTTCAATTTATCAGACTTTCTAATTATCTCCCATATTTCATAGACTCGTACAGTAAACATTAGCGCACCGTTCTTTGTCATTGGCTTCATTAAATAGTTACGACTCATTCAGAGAAAGAAAGAGTAAACGTCTCCGTTAAACGATTGTAGTTGCAGCGCCACAGGTGTTGTGCAAATA